TTTTTACAAAAAACAGCTGAACATGAGAGGTTTTTGGACCAATTTTGTGTTCTCCATTCTTTAAGCACCGGTTTGAGCACCGTTTAAGCACCGGCACCGTTTCAAAAGTACCGATTTGGCACCGGTATCAGATAAAACCTAAACGATACCCATCCCTACTTAGCAGCGCTGTGCAGCTTAAACCATTATTGAGCTTAGCTGTAGAAAGGTTAGGAAAATGCTTTTGAGTCTAAATTTTTGTGAAAACTTAAACAAATATGAGATCAGTATGCCCATTTCCTTTTGAAAGATAATTTAATTCCAACCTTATTTTAATAAATAAATGTGTGGTCCAACAATAGAAACGCAAAAATGCAAAGCAGGGCCACACGCCTACCTGCTCTCCCTCAGCATGTTCAGGATGTCGTCTCTGAAGGTGTCTCTGTTCTTCTCCAGCATCCCCCTCACGTCATACACCACCTGTGCCAAGCCACCACAGTGCGTCAGAGAGAGGCTTTCACTGGAGCAAATAAAAAGCCGAATAGCACCTGGACACGTGATTTGCTTTGGGGCTTCACTTTAAATCAGTCTGCAGCTCCATTAAAACCACAAAAACACAACAATAAAAACAATAAACAGAAACAGATATTATGGTCTCACCTCTCCTGCATAGTGTTTGACTCCAAAGTAGTGCACAGCAACACGTGGCTTCACATAGAAAGGGTTTTTCTGCAGGAGAAAACATGCTTTATGGTATCTGAGGTCATACCTGCAGAAAACTGAGGGAAATATTTGTTCCTAATGCTAAAAATTACAAATCAAGTCCCACCGTTGCTGTTTGAGTCTCCACTTAACACTCTTCTCTCTGGTTTTAATATATCTAAGAGTCATAACAAGGCTGTAAAGCTGCACTAAAAGCACAGCCAAGAAATTATTTAGCAACATTAAAAAAAGAGCTCCCACTCACTCAAAGTATTACTCCTCTTTACTACTTGCAATGACATCAATGTTAAGTCAAATCAAATCAAGCTGCTTGCTCCACAGCCAAACGCCAAGAAATGAGCAGCGCTGTTTGCTGGAAGCGATCGATATCCTCTCAGCAACATTAGACGTGAAGCTGCACCACAGCATGTAACGTGACACACTGAGGTTCCCAGTTTACCAGTTATTTATCAGATGGAAACGGAGAAAGTAGATGTGAAGTTGTGTGAAATTTGAGGCACTGATCGAAATTCATTTGAACATTATCGCAGAAGTCTGACAAATATTTAAAATTGGGTTTCACCCCACCATAAAGGCGTCTGTGTTTATTAATTAACTATAGTGCTAACTAGGTATTAGTAGTATTAAAGTATTAAAGCATGCATTTAAAAAACTAAGATCCCTCACAAGTGAAAATGAAAACAGCACACTTTTTAAGACTAAGGACAGGTGGGACCACTTTTATAGACCTTATATTTTTAAAGCAATGTAAAAAAAAAAAGAAAGAAAGAGGGAAGTAGATGCACGTGTGGGACTGATACTGTTTTCCAACAGTTAAAAGGAGAAGCTCCAGCTGCCAAAGTGAATCAAAGTCAAGCGCGACATACTGAGTGCTGGCTGTGGAGTTTCTCCAGCAAGGTGTCGTCTGTGGCTTTGGGGAAGTGACTCTCCTCATTCATCAGTGCCAGAAGACCCAGTTTCTATGGAAACACAGATTTAATTACTATCAGCAGTCATCACCATGATTTATATCATCATCATCATCATCTTAAATGTCTCTACACTCACCACCTTTGTGCTCTTTTTGTTCAAGTCTTGTCTACTCTGATCTCATCACTGCTTTTTTTCTTGCTTTTGTAAAATAGTATCAGTCTAGCACTAAATTAATAATATAACCACCACGCAAGCAATATAACCGCTGTCTCAATGAGGTCAAACCAATAACTAAAACTACCTGCAACTGCACTTTTTGGAAATATTTGTTTGCATGCATCGTAGAAACACTTCTTTTAATCACTGACACAACAGTATTCGACTGCCACTTCACAAATCTTGAATCATCTGCATACCTTCTCAATCAAATCCAAACATTCTCCATTATCCATCCAGTCGATGTCAACCCAAACCAGGCCTTCTCTGCAAGACGCAGCAGGAAAAACAAACAAAAGGATTTAGTAGAGCGAATTAATAACGGACACATTTAAAGGCAGGGATGAAAGTACATCTGGGTTTATGCGTCATTCTAGTCTTTGCCACCTGCACCAGCATGTTTTCATCCCTGACTTCTTCTCATAGAGATGCTATACATTACAGCACAAAGCACAGATTGGTGGCGATCAAACTTAGTGTTTTAGTTCATAAGACAAGATTTTTCTTTAGGACAAATCTTTGTTCTTTTTTAAAGGAGCATCACGATTCACTGCTACTCTGGGTTACTCCCAATAAAAGAAACCCTCAAGATACAAACCATGGATAAATGGAGGTGCTGGGCGATTATGCTGATTTCCCTCAACCTATTGATCCCATCAACCTACTTTTCTTTAAAATGAGTGGATATGAAAACATTTTGTTCAGTATATGTAAATTATTTGGCAGCGTACAAACTGCAAAGATTTTCTGTGATAGCTTAGCTGATGCAAAGCACTGTTTAGCCCAGCATTAAGAACAAGCTTATGTCATATTAAAGGCCTAAAAACTTTAATCTTATTTCACACATAACATGACTTCACAATTTCCTGATATTCAAAACATCTTTTGAAAAACATTAGCTAGCAACTAATAAAGAGTCATCACCAACCCAAACAAATGCTATAAGAAATATATCTATTACCATCTCAACCAGCTATATCAAATAAAAATACCTTCAGCATTTGTAACTGCTAGCTAACTTAATCCTACATATTCCCTTTTTAATTTTTTTTTTAATTTTTAACTTTCTTTGTGTAACACATTTAGTTTTGTTTGCTCTCCTAGCTTAGCAGGAAAAAGTAAAGTTAGCTTCACAATCAGAAAAAAAAAGCTTTATTGCACATACATCTCCCATGTTTGAATGACATTGCATTCAATGAACAAACTTCTAATATATTCTGAGATAGAGCAGAATAAACAAAGCTCTGTGGAGATGTAGGCTAAACCATGTTTCTGTGGTAAGCATTTCCCCTACTAGCTTCCATTAAGTTTTCAGCATGAGATAATGATTCAGTTCCATTTTTGTGGGTTTATAATAGTAACAAATACTTGGCTGAAAGTGGCAGCGTTTCACAATTAGCAAAAACGACATTAATAATATGTGGATTCTTTTCTTTTCACCAGTTTTCATTTAAGACTTCCTTGCATGCACCTCCTGCTGCAACACTAACTAAATAAAATCTTTAGGAGTACCTTCTACTTTTCTGGTCTCAAAATCTGTTCTGTAATATGTGTCGATCTTTTGTTTAATTTGATAATGTTAAAATAAAGCCTAAAATATTAATGTGATACATTAATATTAATTCATGTATGAAAAGGTAACATAACTATCAAAGAGTTGACCTGGACGGCCTGAAAACTTTACAGTTGTCTTCTTTTCAAAGCAGCATTAACAAACAGCAAAGTAACACTAGATCACGGACTTTTGGTGCAAAACAAATCGACGCATCACGAACAAACAACCTCCACCTACTTATTGTATTCAAGTTGCTCCAGGGAGAAAATGTGCTTGTTAAAATATTCCTGAAGCTTCTCATTTGCATAGTTGATGTTGAACTGCTCAAAGCGGTTGACCTGTGGGAAAATCAGGCGGTTATCAGACACAGAAAACAAAGACGAAGACTTAATGAACTGGAAAACGAGGAATCCCTGAGGGTTATTTACCGATTTCTTGATTAAAAACAAAGTATGATTAAAATTCTTGGGGAGGGGAAAGTTTATTCGAATGTGCTTGAACAAGCGACTGAAATTTAATTGAACTCAGTTACATTTAATAAACGTATTTGTCCCAGAGGGAATATTATATTCTCATGTCACAGTGGACTCACAGCCTGCTCACCCGTGGGTCTTTCCTGAGTTAACCCTTTGGACCACATAATACTTGGTCATTATACTGACATTTTAAGGGGGAATTTTACTAAACATACCTCAAAGTTCTCAAATCCAAAGATGTCCAGGATGCTGACTGACTTGAAGTCTTCTTTGCCCTTGATGCGGGTGTTGAGTTTGCGAATGATCCAGTTGAAACACTGAGAATAAAGTGCCATGGCCATGGAGTCTCGAGAGTCCACGGCCTGCAGAGGAGCAGGACAAACACAGTTGGTGTTCAGCTAAAGTCATGAATGAATAAACTGAAACTACCTGGAAAATTAACATCATCCTCATTTTCTGACTCTTATTCTAATTTCTTATTAATTCACTTAATATTTTTGCTATAAACACTGCCACAACTGGTCAATTAATCAATATGTTAAGTGACAGAAATTTATCTTCATGAAAAGTAAGAATAATCCATTATGCTAAATATTTTCTTGGCTTCCTGTTTAGATGATTGAAGCGATCATTTTTAGATTCTGTCATTAGCAACACAGACAAGAAACTGGGTAAAGAGAAAAAAACTTTTTTTATATGTAAAGAAAAATGTAAGACAGCCAGTTAAACTGTGGAGGTAACCATAACCAGTAGGTACACAGTCCCCATCCTCCATGTTAACATGTTCAGAGAAACATAAGAGCAACTGGACTCTCAGGTCCCGGTAACATTTACTTTACCTCCATTAATGAATTAGTGAAAAAAAGGCACAAACAACCTGCTTTTGACTCAAGCGCAGCCCCCTACAGACTGATGAACTGAGGAAATAAGTTCAGCCCCCCAAAGGCCTCAGTCATCACAAAACAATAACAGCAGAGAATAGCCGGAAAGCTCGAACACTGTTTGGGTTTTGGGTGTGTTTTGTTTTGTTTTGCCTTCACCTTAAACAGCCGGAACCTGCTTCAGGCTAAAATTAGTGAAGAATTGTTCTCTGTGAGGTTGAAGGTTTAAATGTGGAGATGCATTATGGGATGGATGCAGTAGATAGTATGACTACTCACGATGTGAAAGTCAGGATATTTTTTTTTTTTATCTCTGTTGCACATATTTATCTGTGTTTATAATATGTAGATTTTCCACCTGATCCACCTTAAGAACTGGTCCTACTGCATTTGTCACCAAAGAACAGCAAAGCCAGTTTTTCCTGAACAAACATTCAAACTAAACTTCTTCTTGACAAATACTGTTAATGGTTAATTAATGATGTTGATTAATGATGTCATTTTCCTTGAGTCAAGCGTTAGGTTTTTCCTTCCATCTCATATTTATCACCTTCACTGCTAACTCTGCTTTGTATCAGCGTACTCATGGCTGTGGCAAGGTGTTGAGATTCAGTTTGATTTGGCCTCACATGCATTAGAGGCCCAACAAGGAAGGACCATTATAATCAAAACATGGCTGTTATTTTTTATCTGTAGCCATTTTTATTTGGTGGGATGGCTTTGATCTGGGATGTTTAAAGTACAACTGACCTGTTCCACAGTTAGTGGTGTGGAGATCTCCTCGCCCCTGAGGATCATGGACCGGTGCGTCAGGACCTCGGCAACCTGATCCGAGTTCAGCCCCAAGAGTTCAGATGTCCAGCTGAGTGCTGCCAACAAATGAAACACACCGTTAACGACTTTGGACGTAAAATGTCATTTTAAGTGGAGGAAACCAGACTTTACACATCCCGTTTATTTAACTGGTCCTCATTCACACCATGATCACTATCGTCAGCATCCTTTCCATTTGGCTTTTGACCTTGAAATGCATTAGCCTTTAATCAACCCAAAGGTGAAGTCACAGTGAAAGCAGATGAAAGTTTAAAACAGTCAGAAATTAAAGTTTTAACATGCTGAGACAATGTTAATAACGGCTTAGATCCTGGGTTTGTTTGTGCCCTGAAGTCTGAATGTTTTACTCTGAATGAAAAGTTTTCAAGGAAAGTGAAACCAAACTAATGACAAGCTGTGGAAGTATTTCGTTCTAATCTTCCCAAACAAACACTTTAAACATTTTGTTTGTGAGTAAAAAAAAAAAAATTTCCCAGTTCTTTGTTTCAGACGTGGTTAAGTTTAATCATGAGAACTACTTTGTTGACAACAGTGCCAGACTTATGTGTTTGTAGGACCATAATTAGCTCGCCAAAGTTCATTGTAACCATATGAAGAAAAATGTGTGGAGGGGAAGGGTAAACTACCTGATTTGGAGGAAATCTGAGCCCCTCCGGCCGTCACGAACTCAATGTTTCCTGTGTGGAGGATCCCAGCCAGGAGGCGCAGGATCTCGTTGATGTTTTCCTCTGTAAATTGCATCGTTCGCATGGCGTTCTGGGAACCGCAAACACACAGGGAGAAAAGAACGGATGAAAACCTCAGGTCGCCTCTGGTGGCCTCATGTTTAAATTCTCACCAGCTGATTTTATTTCTTTTGGGTGGAAGTTGCTGTTAGAAACAATCCGTCCTGAGAAGCTGTAAAGACTTTAGGGCGTTCTTTGAGGTTTGGACTGATTTAAAGCCATAAGTCTGATGCTTTGGTTTGGCAGCAGTGATTTCAGCTTTCAGTCACCAGGATCAAAAGTTTCTTACTCTGACTTGTGATTATGAATCATGAGTACCATACAGAAATATCATTTATGTCAAACTATGAGGGAAAAGGAAAAGTATGTGCATTCTAAGTTTTTGCCACATTTTAAATTTGACCAAAACCAAATGTTTTGGAACACAGCACACACAGTAAAGTGCAAATAACTGTTACTTTTAGCCTTAAATCAGTAAATGCAACATAATCACGCGCACCAGAACATCCTGAAAAGTGCCCTTGTCGTTGATTGTTTTGTCATCCTGGCAGCTGGACTGTCTCAGGTAGTGATAGCTGTCAGGATGGGTCAACCCGAACGCCTCTGCAGACACACAGAAACACACAAATTACAACATCTATGACACATTTGAACCACGTTAGCTTTCTGCTCTTTCTGTGCCTGAAGTCTGTTTGCACTGACTCATAACTTCATCTGTGTTAACCTTCCTACTTAAATGCTTATTAAATTAAATGATGGTATTTTTTCCCCTCATTCACCTCTCTGCTGGTTGTTGGTTCCTGCTAATATGGCGTAGAAAATGTGGTAGTTTCTCTCCCCTGGGTTCTGCCTGACCACTCGGTTCTGCAGAGGAAGAGGAGAGTTAATATACATCTTCACATCAAAACTAATGCTAATTTTCACATTTGACCAAACACACAGAACAGCAGCCTTAGTTAGTTTAAACTTCTAAAACTGAACCCAAAGATGGTGTGCTTTTACAACAAGATAACAAAAACTCCATGGAGCTGCTTGCACCTCCCTTCTTTACAAACATATTTCACAAAGTGAAAATGTGAAGTGAAAACCAGCAGCCTCCAGCACTCCTGATTCAACCCTAATCACAGATTTGGTGGGAGGAAGGAAGAAGAACACTCACCTTTTCTAAGAGGTCTGCAGCCACAAAAGTGTCAAGTGTCAAGGCACAAAACAGTCAAAAAAAGCCTGCACGCACAAAACTGCTAACAGAATTCTGCAGAAATGTTCAAATAGGACAACTTAAGCAAAGACCAGCATTAAAATGTATTAAAAATTCAATTCTGTGTTTACCAGCTAGTTAAACGTTGCATGAACTGTAGCTGGACCTTAAAATAAACTTTCAAAACACATAAACACATAAATAAAGATGAAGGAATAACATCATCAAACAAACAGTCAAATCAGTTTTATTCTAATGTTACAATCCTCGTGCTCCTAATGAAGGATTTGTGCTAATAAATGAACAGGAAGCTGTGGCTCTCTCCTGCTTGCTGTATTTTTACCCTTGACAGCAATTTTGCTAACCCCTTACAGCATGGCCTCCTTTAATGCTAAGCCTGCGCAGGAAATGAGCAGGGAAAGGAAGCGTAGGCCACTTAACATCAAGTTGGTTTTAAAGGATACAGTCGACAATTTTGCCTCCCTGGATGTTGCCTTTCTGGCTGACATGCAGCTGGACGAACTTCCCAAATCGGCTGGAGTTGTTGTTGTACACAGTCTTGGCGTTCCCAAAGGCCTCCATGATGGGACTTTAGAGTGAAGAAAGGGCGTGATCATTAACCAGGAAAGCAATTGAGCCATTACCCCACAGCACTATGGAGTTCATTTGTAATGATAGGTGTAATTTACCTGCTCTCCAGCAGTGCCTCCTCCACATGTGACGTCTTGTCTCGGGATGATACTTCCAGCGAGTGTTGGCTCATTGCTGACAGGAACTTCAGGATCAGTTTGGTGCTTTCTGTTTTACCAGCGCCGCTCTCTCCACTGAGGGAAAGGAAACAAAAATAAACACAATCTCAAAGATGCCTCAGAAATTAAGCAGTGATGTCATAAGAAGATTCATTTAATGGATTTCTTCAGCAGGTTTCAAATCACACTTATAGTTTTGGTTATAAGTTAAATTTAATATTAGCGTTCCACACACAGCTCATGGCATCGAGATGTTCTGGGGAAAAATTCAAAACCCAACCACTAGATGGCGCACTGGGCACTGCTAACTGACTTAAGATCACTGGCTCTTGTATTGAAACCGGTCAATGAATCAAATCACAGTGAAAGTCAATATCATAAAAATAAGAAGTGACATAAAGCCACGGGAGGCATGAAGCATGACGGGATGAAAAACCTGATTCATGTGGGAAACAAAACAGCAAAAATGAGTAACTAATAGTTAAGAATGGCTCCTTTTGCTTTTTCTAGCCCCACATTTTTATTCATACACTCTACTAGAGCAGCTTTGGATGATTAACACCGAGCATCAAACAGAACAGGTGGGTTTGACCTCTCTGCTCAAAGACAGAACTGTGTGCTTCAGACAACCAGATCAGGGAAATCTATTCTCACTGATCGGTGAGCACAGAGGGTCGACAAAACTGAAATGCAGCAAGCTCATGCCCTGTAAGGATACAGCAGCCACAATGAAGCACACAATTGAATGACAATTGCAACAATGATTAAGTTTTATTCTATAAATAGAGAAAAAGCATCATTTAGTCATGGATAGTCATTCAACAGCTACAGTCCTTTATAAAACCCACTTTATTCTACAGGCAGGGGCTGTGTGTATATGGGGCAGCAAACTCCACACACTCAGAGCCGACGCTTACAACAGCCACTCTCCACACGCTGTGCTGATGACTGTGATTTTTGCAAGTCAAACCCCCTGACAAGCTTCATCTGCCTGAACCACAATCACCACTTTCATCCCACTACAGACTTGGTACACACACACACACACACACACACACACACACACACACACACACACAC